ACCACTTGAAATCTTTAAATCATATGAAGACTTTTAAGACCTGTTTTAGCCTGGGCTGATGTGGCTTTTGAGTCAAAACCTTACAGCACACCCGTGCAATGGGTGCAATACACCATGGTGAGAAGAGACTCAGGGCAGGTTGATGGCACAGATACCTGATGGAGCTGGGCTAAGACAAGACACATCCACACACTCCCGTTTGAATCACAGCACCACAGTTCCATCCACCTTTGGAGACAGTAAGGAGAATCTGGCACTTTGAACAGCTACAAGTTACTGGTGTTAAAGCAAGGGGATGGGACACAGGCACTTGCAGCAGGAATTGATGTTTCTACTAAATCAACATGTCAAACAAAAATGTGTTGTAAGACGACAGTAAGACCTGGATTATGTAAGAAGGCTGTTAAGATGATCTCATCTAACAGTGAAATCTGCAATCATGGTGTCAGTTCTAATGGTTTTTAGCTGGGGAGAATCTCAACAGAAAATACCATGTGTGCACATGTGATGGATATGCCTGCCTACGCATAAGCACATATAGTGCAACAAAAATTAAAAAGAACATTATTATACAAAACCAGAAAAGCATGGGTTATGAACATATACTAGTAAAGTGAGACTGTCTAGTTAATATATGCTGGAAAACAATATAAATGGCCATTACCTAGCAAATGCCATTGTAACTTCCCCCTAAATTTTTCAGGCTTGGCCCCAGTGGTGTTACACACCTGTCTCTGGAGAAACCTGTAACAACAAATACGTTTACCACATGTTTACTGTAGACATTAAGTACTTTCATAAAGCTAATTTCTCATGGGGTGAGAAGCTATTCAGATTCCATTCAGAATCAATGAACAGCTGAAAGGTAGGAGACAAAGAGGTAAAGCTGGTAGTCAACCAATAGTCGTGACTGAGAGAGGTTACTAATTATTAGTGTGCTCTTAGTACCATTTATGTTTGGACCTTCTGTGCTGTTCAAAGCTGTCATTGAAGACACAGGGAAAGAGGTGATGAAGTTTGTGTGATCCTATTTTAAATAACATAGTAAAATACCTGATGGTACTGAAAAATGCAAAGTAGTGTACTGGGGGGAGAGTAATCCTAATTATCTGTAACAGAACAATTAATTACTACCACTTTGGAAATAGCTTTTGAAACCATTGTGCATAGTGCTTAGGACTTTTCAATAAGTCAAGAAAAATGTTGGGAATTTTTATTGTTGGGAGTGAGAACAAACAGAAAACATCCTTATGTCTTTTGTATATACTATACCCACAAGCTGAGTAACACTGACAATTCTGCTTCTTCAGTCCCAGAAACTAACACAGAATTATTTGAAAAATTATAAAGGGAAACAAGAAGGATCAGCAACATGGAGACACATTCATCTTATATGAGATTAAATTAGGGAGTGTGATGGAGAAAGGAGAAGATAGAATAATTACTTGCTCCAGTAACTGCCAGGAGCCAGGAGAAAAACCGATAGTTTTCATTGATTGCACTGTTTTCCAAATGCCTTCTCTTGGTCCCTGCTGGAGGCAAATGTCCAGTTAAATTGACGGGTTGATCATATGCAGTATGTCTACTGTGTTGTTCTCAAGCGGTGTTTTTTACATCATGCATAATTCCTCCGTTTGTCTGCCTTCATGGGCATCTGGGGGGACAGCAACAACAAAGTGAGATGCCCAGGAAGGTCAAATCAGAATAGTCTGTTTTAAGGCAGAACCTCTTGAGTTTTAGGGAGCAGTCTTACACAGCTAAAATGCATAATGAATTATGAGTCTGATGATGACCTTCACCAGTTATATGAAATATGTATGAGCAATATTTCCATGTCCGTCCTGTGAGCTTGTAAAGGACGATTTTGTACTTCTTTCATTTTTAAAACAGCATCAATTTGTGGAAACGGAATGATGGGAAATCACCATCTCCATAATTATCACGTTTCCTGCTCACTGCTGCTGCCCCTATAATGACATAATCAGTCATTCATTTCTGATGCTGCCCAGCTAATTTTTGTACTTTGGCAGTATCTGTTACCTTAATTGTCATGGTAACAGACGGTTTTGATTTCTTATTAACCTATTTTAATATTACATGACTAGGAAGGGTCATGAAAGAAATAGTAACAAAAGTGTTTCAATAATCTCCTGATGCCTGGAGACAAATACTTGGGTATAACACTTCCTTTTCAAAAGGCAGAATAAAAAAAAAAAATTTGAGTAAGCCTAAACATGTGTCAAAAGAAAATAAGATGAGGAATTACAGTTTTGTTCATCTTTCTCAGATATACAGTTGATGCTTCTTATAAATTAGGGTCTATGAATCAAAACTGAAAAGGATTTTTAATGTAGATTTCATCATCAGTATAATAATATTACCTTTAGCCTGAAAAGTCACAAACTATTACTTGATCAAACAAATTATCCATAATAACAATCACATTATGCAAAGGCCTACATTATTTGTGCAAAAGTAATGAGGTTTTTAGATGATTAAGAAATCTAGATTATGTGCAACTGAAAGCATGTTGTTAACAATAAAACCAGAAGATAAGCACTTTTATTCTATACTGCTAAATAACTGGAATCTTCAATGTATTTGGTAACATACTAATCAGATTCACTTTTAAAAGCTTAATCTCAGATCTACCTTAAAAGACTACCTTTTTTTACTGTAGCATTTAGCATTTTGTCAGCCAATATAACAAAGACCTTACAAAAGCAGTATGCACATATGGCATCATATGCACAGAGCATCAGTGGTCTTCAGATACTACATTCTCCTGGGAATTTTCAATGTCTTTTGATCCAATTCAGATAGATTTAAATTTCATTTATTTCCTTAGCAACTTAGGAATGTATTCCTTTTAATGTTGTTTTCCTAACCATCAAGGTTTGTTTTTCGCAAAGAGCACCCCTTACTGATGTAAAATTATCATAATATCTAATCTGTTCCAGAAAATATTTTGGTAGCATATCAAAACCAGAAAGCAGTATGGTTTTGGGTTTGTTTTTTTTTTTTTTTAACTACCAAAGATTCTGTAACTGATCAATAGTGATTATTCAATGGAAAAGTTAATCTTTTCATGAAAATACCATCCAAAAAATCCCTTGGAAAAGCAATGGGCTTGGACTACAATCCCAGGAGTGATAAAAATGTGATCTTCTTGGCATCATTTCCACTGTGCAAATCAATTTATCTAGCTGCAGGTTTGAGCCCTAGCAGAGCTTGCTGCAGTGGTTTGAGGTGCCATCAATAATAATAAATATTCCTCCTCACACCTGGGATGGGAGAATGTAATAAGGGACCAACCCCACATGGCACAGCTCACAGTCTGAGAAGGAATCTGAGCCTCACCTTCAAAAACTAGCGTGTGAAAACTGTGAATTGCAAGGGCTGGAAATAGTTTCTTTTATCGAGTCTGCTTTAGGGCAGTCATGAGGAGGTGGGAGAGACAGCCAGCAATGGCAATGCCTTCAGCTGTGGCAGTGAGAATTTTTGGGAGAGCCTTGGTACGAGCCTTGGCGGCAGCTTCATTGCTTTGTAGGAGTTGATGCAGCTCTCAGCTTAATGCCTGAATCCTTGAGAGAGGACGTAAACGCTGTGAGGTGAAGAGGAAGAAAGACAAGAGTAGTAGTGAACGCCATGGTACAAGACAGAAAAAATTAAGTTGCATTCTTTCTGCGGCGTAGGGTGCGAGGATATGGGTGCTGAAGGGAAACACAGATACGCTGCAACACAACTTTATCGACGGTAAATGGTGTTAACTTAGCCCGTTCACTTTCTTGGAAGGAGAACTGGTTTTCTAGGAGAAAATAAATGTGGGGGGCCTAAGGAATGTGGCATGATGTCAACCCGGGGAAGCCAGCGGAGATGGGGCATAGAGCGCATGGGACGGTGACGGAGAGTGACTGAAGCAACACGGTAAGTTACAGAAAGCTGACCCACAGGAAGAGGGGGACCTGCTGAAGGGCTGGCCTTGGAAGGCGTTTTACCTAGCAAACTCACCAACGCCCGTGCCGCGGGAAGAACTTAACCCCGGCACGGGGAGACGGGTCCCGGCAGGGCAGGGCAGCAGCACACCGCTCCCACAGCACCCGGCCCGGGCAGAGCCAAGATGGCCGGGAGCGCCGCCCCGGGGCGGCGAGAGCGCAGCGCGGGAGGCGGCGCGGCCCTGGCGGGGGCAGAGCCACCTCCGCCCGCCCCTCGCCGGCCCCGGCCCCGCCCGGCGCTGCCCCGCGGCTCCGCCGGCTCCGAGCGGCCCCAGCAGCGGCAGCGGGTGAGTGCCTGCGGGCGGCAGCGGGTCGGGGACAGATAGCCAGCCGTCCGTCCCTCCGTCCGTCCGTCCGTCCGTCCGTCCGTCCCTCCCTCCAAACGCTGTGAGGTGAAGAGGAAGAAAGACAAGAGTAGTAGTGAACGCCATGGTACAAGACAGAAAAAATTAAGTTGCATTCTTTCTGCGGCGTAGGGTGCGAGGATATGGGTGCTGAAGGGAAACACAGATACACTGCAACACAACTTTATCGACGGTAAATGGTGTTAACTTAGCCCGTTCACTTTCTTGGAAGGAGAACTGGTTTTCTAGGAGAAAATAAATGTGGGGGGCCTAAGGAATGCGGCATGATGTCAACCCGGGGAAGCCAGCGGAGATGGGGCATAGAGCGCATGGGACGGTGACGGAGAGTGACTGAAGCAACACGGTAAGTTACAGAAAGCTGACCCACAGGAAGAGGGGGACCTGCTGAAGGGCTGGCCTTGGAAGGCGTTTTACCTAGCAAACTCACCAACGCCCGTGCCGCGGGAAGAACTTAACCCCGGCACGGGGAGACGGGTCCCGGCAGGGCAGGGCAGCAGCACACCGCTCCCACAGCACCCGGCCCGGGCAGAGCCAAGATGGCCGGGAGCGCCGCCCCGGGGCGGCGAGAGCGCAGCGCGGGAGGCGGCGCGGCCCTGGCGGGGGCAGAGCCACCTCCGCCCGCCCCTCGCCGGCCCCGGCCCCGCCCGGCGCTGCCCCGCGGCTCCGCCGGCTCCGAGCGGCCCCAGCAGCGGCAGCGGGTGAGTGCCTGCGGGCGGCAGCGGGTCGGGGACAGATAGCCAGCCGTCCGTCCCTCCGTCCGTCCGTCCGTCCGTCCGTCCGTCCCTCCCTCCCTCCCTCCCTCCCTCCGACCAGGGAGCCGCCTTCCCTCCCTCCGCGCCGGGGGCAGAGGCGCTGCCCGGGCAGCGGGTGCGGCTGCCGCTCGCCCGGGCGGGGCCCGCTTCCCGGTGCTCCCTGCGCCGGCGGCGGCGGGAGCCGGATCCCGGCGGGCTGTGGCAAGCGAGCCGCGCTCTGCTTCCCAGCGCGGGCCGGCCCAGAGGCCATCGGTGCCTGCCAGGGGACGGGCGGCGCGGGGGGTGACAGATGCTCGTGTGTCTGTGTCTGTGGGTGGGTGTCCGTGTCCTCGCAGCGGTTCGGCGCGCTTCTGCCAAATAAGGAGAAGTGTTTAATTTCCACACCAGCAATATACTGCCTTGCAGCAGCGTATTGGCGTCAGGAGTATGAGAGTCTAATAGCTGGCGTGCACTTTTGATAGTTGCTGTGTTGAGCATCTGCAGTATAAAGTGTTTTAAGTTTTGAAATACCGAGCATCCCCACTCCTTGCTCAGCCACGCTTCTCTGATCTCAAAAGTCTTGCCTAATAACGTAGAATTTAACTTTTAAAATTCTAAATAATGCTGTTTATCTTGATGATGTACATGTGTGAAAATAATTAGAAATCAACGTGAATTTAAAGAGCTGAAAGTAAAAAAGAGCCTTTAAAGTGAGAAGAACATCTTTAAAGAGAAGATAATTATGCCATTGTGGTGACCAATATCACAACTGGCAGTCTAACAAATAATGGGAATGTAAGCTCCCTAAGAGATGGGTCATATTTTCCTTGCTGACTTCATCTGTTTAGTGCGGAGTCCAACAGCATCCGGAAGTTTTGGGAGTTCCCCTTAGGCATTTGCAGCTGTGCAGCCTTGCTGCCCTGCCCTTTGCAGCGGTGGTCCCACGGCGGCACGTCCAGTTTCAATGTCACCTGTCGGTCGGCTGATACCTGCTGCAGTGCTGCTGGTGCCGTGCACTAAGGATGAACCTGTGGTTCGCTTGGGGCTTTGCCCGAAACCCATGCTAATAATTAATCTTGCTCAGTTTTGCATGTTAAAAAGAAGCATTTTTTGGCATGTGAATTTTGGATGTAAAAATCAGACTCTGCTGCAAACGTTTTTTTGCCTCTTGGGTAAATCGTAAGGGATCAGGAAGTGGAACGATGTCACTCTTGCCTATTTTAACTCAATAAAAAAAGTAAGGAGGGGAAGCTTTTCTCTTAGGAAGAGTTTGTGATGCATTCAGATGTCTATTTTTAAACTCCACTTTCATACCAGCGCAGAAATCCTGGTTTCTTGAACAACAGAGTGGGTCTCTGTGCTCACTGAGCCCTTTTTAGCTAGTGCTCAGCTCCAGAAGCTCTCAGCGGCTTTTGTTCCAGCTGCATTGTTGGCACCCGTGGAAGCTGCATTTGATGCTTTGCTTTGTCTGTGATGCCCAGTTTCTCATGCTTACCTCAATGCCAGTTTTTGCTTAAGGAGTTCAACATCTAAAGCTTTCATTGTGTTGGTGCTGCTTTGCGCAGGATAGGCCATAAAACACCATTCAGGCGTCTGCAGTTGTTAACCTCGGGCGCTTTGCAGCGGTGGTGTTGTGTGTGGCTGTAGTGCTGCCATATGCTGTGCCACGTATGGCTGAACTGTTGCAAGGCTCTGGTACACATTGGTGCAGATTGCTGCGTTTCACGGCAGTGAGGTGCCCCGGATAGGTTCGGCAGCTTAGTAGATTCTCAGGATAATTTTGAATGGCAAAAATGTTGACTGCCTTAGGTCGCTTGCATAGTTTGGATCAGTTCTGCTTTCATAGCAGGTATGCAGGAGCTGCTGTCCTTTCAGGCACCATGTGTGTCTGTAACCAGCAATACGTGTCTGCAGTATCTTCCCAGCATATGTAGAAAGCTGTGGTGTGGTTTAAGAAACCAAATCTACCACATATCCCAGAGAGAAATTTAAAGGCAGATGTTCCATTTTGATTGAAGCCATTGATGGAAAGTTGCAAAGCCCCTGAAGATGTGATGTTAGTGAGTTGCTCTGATTCTGTGGCAGCTTAAGCTCATTCCTTAAAACAAATGACCCTCCTCTTCTCTGACCTTTCCACATCTGTCATTTTTTGAGATTGGCTCCTTATATTTGTGTATAGAATGTAACAAGATTGTAACTTCTTTTCTCTTCCCTTCAAATGCAGAGGTGCAGAGGCTCTTTATCTGTTCAAGACTAAAATCCTAGATTATCCTGTAGTCATGCATCTCCAGGCTACTGGGATTTATGAGGTGTTCTGACATGCCTAAAAAACTGAGAACATGCCAGAAAGGTGCAAAGGATTTACAAGATTCCTAATAACTTTGTAAAATTTTTTTTTCCTTTTAGACCACAATGAATGTGGAACATGAAATTAGCCTCTTAGTTGAGGAGATTCGACGGCTGGGAACCAAAAGTAAGTACTGTAGTATCTCTGTATGGATGTGATCACATTACAGATGTGTGTGTGTACATACATGTCACCATGCATGCATGTCATACACTTGTAGTCATGTTACATCAAACTAAGAACTTGGCAAATTCAAATAAGCAAGTAACCTGAAAACCTGCATATGCACTTCATGTTGGACTGTATGGTACTGCCTGTGTTCCGTCCTTTAAAATAGTTCTGTTATCAAGTTAAACATTTAAACCTCTGCAGCAGAAAGGATGTAGGCCTGAAATCCTGCTCCCTGAATCCTCAATCAGCTGCAGGATTCGCCTTTTCTTTAGGCTTTCAATACTTGCTACAGTCACCACAGAAGAAAGTTGCACCTTCTCCTTCCAACTCCTTTCTTGGTAACTTCTTCAGAATTCATGCATTTCCATTCTGTTCATGATCTTATTATTTGGAAGAGATTGGTCTGTATGCCTAAAACTAATCCAGGAGTTTTATGTGTAGTTCCAAACTTCCTTAAATTTGCTTAGAAGGTACCATTTTCTCTTAAGATTGTTTTTCATTGCTGAAACTCCTATTTCTTTACAAATATTTATGCAGTTCGTGGATATGCTACCTGTTCCTATATGTCAGTTCTGGTGCCATTTGTTCAGTTCCACTTGTTTTTCAAAGCCTAAATGCTTATGTACATCTTGCATTTTGTATGCCTGCATTTGCTTTTTAGGGATAACATTAACAAATATTTTTTAATTTTTGCTTTGTGTGAAAATTCACATTGCAGCCTTTTCAATGTGACCCTCAAAGATTAATGAATGAAAAAAATGTGAAAAAAATATTTTAATGTATGATTTTGATTTAGGTTGGAGGAGCAGGGTGTTGGACTTGATCCTTATGGGTCTCCCTCAATTTGAGATATTCTAGGATTTTAGTTATTTAAAACTAATTTCCTCCAAACACTGTGAAGAGGTTCAATAGCCTGTGCTTGTCATAGGTTTCAGAAAGTCATCAATAAAAGTAAACAGAGCAGATATATGGTCCTTGATACAAGTCTCTGAAAGGAAAGGCAAAGTTAGATTAGGCAGGAGTTCTGCCTAGTGTTTATCATCAGCATTCAGAATATGATCCCAAATAAACTGGGAAACACAGTGGGGTTTGCTCTCAATGTTCTCTGTGTCACCTTATCTTCCCAGTAATCTCCTAACTTGAAGGAAATCTATATTATGTCTTTTATTTAGATGCTGACGGACAAGTGAGCGTGAAATTTGGCGTGCTGTTTGCTGATGAGAAGTGTGCCAACCTCTTTGAAGCCCTGGTGGGAACGCTTAAGGCGGCAAAGCGGCGCAAGATCGTCACTTACCAAGGAGAGCTGCTTTTACAAGGTGTTCATGACAACGTGGATATCATGCTGCTGCAGGACTGATGCAGTGCTTCAGCTATGTGTTAATGGAATTGCTTGAAACAGGTTGATCAATCAAACAATTGTTTGATTTGCCACATGCTCTTAATAAGGCTGATCATTCCAAGGCATTTTGATGTATTTTCTATATCTTTATAGTCAAAAGAAAACTGTCCTATTTTGGAAAACTTTCCCTTTTGTAAGTCTTCCTAAAATGGTACTGTATGTGAGTAATGTTAAAGATGCCAAACCTTTTTCTCTCTTCTCTCTCTTTTTTTTTTTTTTTTTTTTTTAATCTCAGGTAATTCTCTCAAATGTCTGGTGGTTATTTTCAACATATGAAGAAGAGGACTGGTAATTCAATGTTTACAAATGAAAATGTGCCATGAAAGTATAAAATAAAAGCACATACTTAAATTTATGTTATTCTTACTGCTTTAGTTTCTCTTTTTATTTGCAATCTGAAATGAAAGCAAACTGAATTCCTGCAAGGGGCATATTTAGGTAACTGTTCAGAAAGCACGACAATGAGATAGAAATAATTTTGCAGTGTGATTCAGTAGAAGAATGACTGCCCTTAGGATTGGCCAGATTGTGCACAAAAAGCCGTGAATGTTAAATGTACCTCATTCATCTGTGGCAGGGTCATATGCTTTTGTTTTCTTGTCCTCTAGACTTGTGAAGGAAGTGGGTGAGGAGCTCCCTGAATGCTTTCATGCGGTGTTAACCGGAAGTTAGTACAGCAGCTTCAGGCTGTGATTCTTTTCCTCATAGCAGTCCTACTTTCTCTAAATCTCTCCAGGCAAAAGATGGCAGGGGAGGGGAAGAAAAAAGCCCTTTTGATTGTTTTCTAGCTTACTGCCAATTTTTTTTATCAGGTAGAAGTGTACCCTCCAGTAGGGAGAAAGAGTTGATGCATGAAGAAAGCAGCTGTGGGTAAGCAAACTGCTTACTGCTCTGTGATTACCCTCCACAGCTGCAGCTCTTAAAGTTGCAGGATAGGTGAATTTCCCTTAGCAGCCTTTTACAAGTGCAAAAAGTTTGAAAAGTGTCTCCTCATTTACAGATCCAGCAAATGCTTGCATTGTTATGGAATCTCTACAAAGCTGTGTAGTTCCAGCTGCTACCCCTTTTGTCTTGTTTTGCTCTGCTTTTTGCAACAGGAAAACAACTTGGATCCTGTGTGCAAACAGATCTGGGCTGCCTCTGCTTGTGCTGGCCCCAGAATCTGGAGAGCAGGGAAGTGATACACAAAGAAACTTGAGCTGTCTGGGTCCAAGCCAGCTGGAGTGGAGGAGCAGAGCAGGAGCTCAGCACAGCTTACTGGCTCCAGGGCTCTGCCGCTCTGGTGCTGCTCTTCTGCTTCCAGGCCTGAGCTGGCAAGTGCCTGCACCCCTGTGCTCTGCAGGTAGAAAGAAGGGGGACAGAGACCCATACCTTCTGCCAGAGGGGTGAGACTAGACAGCTGTGAGTTGCCAGATAACTACAGCAGTTTTTTCTTCTGCTTCTATTTTGCTGCAAGAGTCTGGATTGTCCGGATTCACAGAATAGCCTGAGTATGCTGGCAGATACCAAGTGCTTTGTGATTATCTGAGATGCCAGTTTTGGTACAGGGAGTACCAACCTATCCCAGCCAGGAAGTAGCTCTCTGTGCAAGCTCATGACAGCTCTTTAAGCACTGTAGGGCTCAGCCTTGAAAATCTAGTAAAAACCAAACCAGCGAACGTAAGGCTCAGTGCTGAGTTGGAGCCTAGACAGGGCTATGAAGAGACCTTCATGTCTCTCTTACTTTAGGTTTATCGTAGCAATACTAATAAAAATGCTCAGGGCTTCTGGGAACACCATGTAGAAAGAGACAGAGAAACTTGGAATTAAAATAAATCTGTAACAATCAGAGGAGAATGTGGCTTGTGTACTGCCTGGGGCAATTGAGTTTCATTTTCTCTCTGATTCTGAGAGCAGGAGAGGAACAACAGGAACAAGGATGTATGTCTAAGAATTTGCCTCCAGTGCAAAGTTTAATCCAGTATTTACTGGCCTCAAAATTGTGTAGGGTTTTCACTTCAGGTTATATACAAGCACTGTTGACTTTCTAATTTATTTTTTTCCCCAGAGAAAATCAAATACTAACATTTCTTCCCATGCATGGGACAACACATCTATTAAGGAAATAATTTCCACAGCAAATGGCCTGGACATGAGACGTAGTTCCTGGAGCATTTGATGCAATAATAGAAAGCTGGGGGGAGGAATTACCTATTTCTATAAGCAGTAGTACAATCAGCACTCCTCTGTGATGGGTTTGTGATCGTGCCAGCTATGGCTGTGAAGGAAGTTTGCAGGGCAGCCACGAGCACCAGTCATTCCAAAACAGAAAGTACTTCTGATGGTGGGGAAGTAGAAAGAATCAGAGATTTCTGACAGCAGCATAGGAGCTAATATATATCAGTAGCTGTCACCTGCCTGCGATGATGCTGGGAAATCAGTGGAAGCGTAGCTTGGCTAATTCAGTCTCCATAAGATCTCAGAGCATGGTGGAAACTTGAAGAGAGGTTGGATGAGCTCCAGGCAAAGCTGATACAATTTAAGATGTCACTTGTGCATGTCTTCAGCTGGGATTGTTAGAGTAGATGATGGAGTGGAGTGTGTGCACTCACACTCACTCATCTCAGCTGTTTCTGTACAAAATCCAGTGACTGGAGATAAATGTGCTTTTCCAAAGGAGTTTTAACTAAGCTGTGAAGGTGCTGAGGTGCAGGTCTGCATAACCTCTTGTGGGAGGTGGTGACATCTTAAACTTTGCAGCTATTTCTCTTGTGAGCTTTTTTTTTTTTTTTTTTTTTTTTGCTAGGAGCATGAGCAAAGCAAGAATTGAAATATATGCAACGCTACATTTTACGTGCCTCTCTTGTTGGAATGAATTTTGAAAATGCATGTTGTTTTTTGCTTGTTTCTCATGTTCCTTCCAAAGCTCTGCTGGAGGTATTCTTTCTGCTCCAAGGGATTTCACTTGATGAGAGCAATGTCACTTTCACCATTCATTCCTGTGTAAAGCTTTGCCACAAAAAAACACTTGAAGGAAAGAACAAGAGGAAGAGAAGCAGGAAGATCTTACATACTGAAAACTTATTATATTGCCACTGATACTTAGTGTTTTTATTTTAAATTAGTTTTATAAATAGGCTGAGATCCTCCTCTAGTCTGGCAGCACAAAATATTAAGCATTTTAAACAGTTGCAGAGCCTTTGCTAAGATAACACCACATAATTGTCACAGGACTGACCTTATGGCTCCATACCAAAACACTAACCCTTAATGATATCTTTGTATCATCTCCATCTAGTATGTAAAAGAGTCCTAAATGTTTGTTCCATGGTCTCCAGCAGAAGTTATGTTCCACATTACATGAAAATCCTTTGTCTGATAACATGATAGGAATCATGCTTTCAAGGACTTATAAAAAGCACAACGTGTACCTTTTGGAAACTGGAAAAGTCAGTAATTTTGCAAAATTCATGTGATCTGCCTTTTCTCTCAGCAGCAAAACCCGTACCGGTTTAGAGCTCCTAATGATTTGATTTTCAGTGCAAGATATCTTCAGCATTTTGATCTGAAATGGCATTCTCAAAGAAAGTCAAGAGCAAGCTGAAGAGTTGCTCCAGTGCAATGATTTCCAGGATTCTGTATGGTCACTATTTCCAGGTACCTCTGGTTTAAAAATAAGTTGAATGGGTTATTTGAGGATAAGAGTTTGACAGTGTTTCTGGAAAGCAGTGTTTTTAACATCTAGTTACATAAACTGCCTAATGTGAAATTATTCTAATAAAGTTTTCCTGAGGGTGGCAGTTCAGTTTCGTTCTGCCACTCTGAGTACAGCTTTAGCCACAAATGCACTGCAGTGTGTATTTAACCAGCCAAAGCCAGTCTGATGGCACACATTTTGAATAATACACCAGAAGCAGCATTATCTTCTGGTGTAGCCTAGATGTCATTGCAGATTATGCTTATCTCTGCCAGAGCACCTGAGTGACTCAAATATCAGCCTGATAACCTAGAGAGGGAGTCGTTCGACCTACAAATGCTCTCTTGAATCTTGTCAGATCAGATCCAGATCAAAACTCCTTTCAGAGAAATGCTTAGAGTCAGACCTGAGCATTTTCTAGTACAGCATTTTCACAAATATAGCAGCATTGTATCCATGACCTTGTTCCTTTTTGGAGCCTCTTCTTGCACAACCACTGAAAGCTGTGACGCTAAGGGTTTTTGCTGCCACCTTGCCATGCTTAAAGCTCTTCTCCAGAGAGGATAATGGTATGCACCATGCAATTGTATATGCATACTATGCATACTTATTGGTACAGTATGTACTCAAAACCTGACTATTTTTTCCCAGTGGGGAAACAAACAGTAAAATGGCAATTATGTTTGAATAGGAATATAGTGATCTGCATTTCCTGGTCTTTTCTAAGTCTGCTAAATGACACAGAAGATCATGTTAGTAAAATTGATAGTCTGTATCTTCCAGAATTAGGTATTTTGCAAAGTTTTGGTAATAAAAGACATATTACTGCCAGGTCTTTACTAGTCAGGAGTCCTTGGTCCCTCTGCAGCTGATGTTCTAAAAAGCTTCCTTTATAAAATCCTATTTTGGAGCACATGTGATTTTCTTGGAAATCTGCTTTCAGTTTTCTTAGGGGAAAAAAAGAAAGTTAAGTTGTTCAAGACACCACTATTCATCAGGACTTCAGCACCATGAAGCAGTTCACACAGACGTCAAGATACACACATGGAAATAACTGTGTTGCAGGTAACTTCAGTGGCATAGGAATATTTAAATCCAAGTATGTGACATCTGTAAGGTACTCTGGTAGCTCCAAGTCCACAGGCACCAAAGGTTTCACTGGAAAACTTTGCTGGGAACCTAAAATCATGCAAACCTTCCCATACCCAGAGGCATTGCCACCTTGTCTCCACTGAACACCAATGTGCCTGTGTCAGACATGTGACCACAGGGAATCAAGACACACACATGCCTAAAGTCAATCAAGGATGTGTGTTGGGAAGCAGGGACACTGAATAGTCCTTAGCTTTATACAAAAATGTCTGTAATTTTCTCCTTAAGCACCCACTCAGACATCTTTCATTACCCTGACGTATTGGTTCTGACCTGAAGGGGGTGGAGGCATCAGCAGCAGGTGGGTGCAGGTTGCTGCCAGCCCCCTGCATGGCACATGGTGTGCCAAAAAACGCCAGCAGGCAGAGAGAAATTGCTGTGTGAAAAGCTGTGCCTCAG